ACATTTCTAACTAACAGAATTTAAATAAAAGCAACAAGCAGCCGCTCCTCTGGAATATGTCTATCCATTTGCAGGTAAAGTGACATTGACCAAAACTTAAAATAATGGAATCCAAAACCCAGCTGGATATACTACCTTTAATACATTTTAGGTGCACCAAAATACCCCAAATTATGTGTCTCCAGGAAACACGTGACTCCATGCAACTTTCTGAGGTGGGTATCTTAGGAAAAACTCTTGGAATACAGGCCACCAAATAAAGGGAAACAGCAAAGTCCTTGGTTTCAGACTACTTAGTATTCAGACAGTACTACCTAAAAGCTGTGGCCTCTCTAAGCTGTGCGTGATCTATGTCACAGGCTCTGCAGACCTCTGAGATTTTTTCTGATAAAGTGAGTGAATAAATAGTCAAAGGATAACACAGTTAAAGTGAGAGTAACTCTGCAATGGTGTCACCAAGTCCAAATTCATGAGTCTGCAGATATCTGTTATGAAATCGGATAAGCTCTCACCTTTCTTCCAGACTGTAACTTCTCCATTATTAGCTTTTTATTGCAAAGGCAAGCCTTGTTTTGCACTGTGGGAATATGCAACACTTAGTAGGATGGTGTCCCAGCTCACCATCATAAATCAAATGCTGCATGTAGAGGCATTTCAGGTGTTATTTGCAGAAGTGAAATTTAATACACCTTGCCAGCATGTGGAAAAAGTTTAAGGTCCAATTCAATGAAGTCAGTGTGATTCTGGCCTGCATCACCCATCTACTGCCTGTATTAAGTAGTATAACATTTTTTGTATAAATAAAATATATTCAAATTTTATCAAATTTGACATTTCTTACCGTGCTAAAATTTTTGTCATTTGTCAACCTGTATTTTTAGAGCTCTCTTAGACTAACTGCCAGGACTCCATCTGGCAATATGAGGGGTATTCTTAATTCAAAGCACTTCAAAACAATTCTCCCACATCACAAATTAAAGTGATTATGGGTGATTGTAAAAAGATGGATTTTAATTTTCTTTAAAAACACAAACAATGAAACAGTAATTTAAAACTCTTTTATGTTACTCTATCAGCTACCTACGCAGCCCCTGGTCCTTTGTATGAGGTAGCTGCATTTCTAGTGATTGTATATTGAGCCAGGTTTAATATTTTAAAGAACTTACTGTAATTTTTTAATCTTTTTTGTTAAACTGATCAGTGTATTACCCACACTATAAAATAAATGTGATTATGACCTGAAAAACACAGATCCCAAGGACAATACAGATAACTAAGTTATATATTATATTATGTTAAATATAATTTTTTCCCCCCTGCAAATTTGAGTGAGTTGGTCTCAGATACAAGCCCCACTCTTGGGAAGATTCTAGCTTGTAGTCTTTATTCCTGAAGAAAGCATACCAGCAACTTAAGACCCACAAAGAGACCACTGTCTTCTCACATAAAGTTTCTTTCCTTCCTTGAATAATCAAAGAGATGTCACTTTAAAGACTCTCTTGTAAAGTGTACAAGTTACTGTCAAGTTTTTTCAAGACTTTGAAAAGGCAGAAAGCTCATGTGTCATGTCTCAAGCAACATGTGTCATCACTGGCAGAACAATTCCCAAACATCCCAGCACGGATTATCCATGGAAATATCTGCATCTTCCAAATCCAGGACCATGTTACTTCCCAGAGGAAGAGCAAGCCAGTAGATGTATGCACCAGGACTTTAGTAAAGCCTTTGGTATCATTTCCCACAGCATTTTCCTGGAGAAACCAGCTGCTCATGGCTTGGATGGGTGCACTGTTCACTGAGTAAAACCTGGCTGGGTGGCCAGGGCCAGAGTGGTGGTGACTGGAGTCACACCCAGCTGGTGGCCAGTCTCTGGGGGTGTTCCTCAGGGCTCTGTGTTGGAGGCCAACCCTGTTTAATGTTAGTGATCACTTTATCAGTGATCTGGATGGGAGGAGTGAATCCCCAAATGCTTCATCCAGTTCTGGGCCTCTCATTACAGTGTCAGGGCCCTCAGCCCACCTGGGCAGCTTACAGGAGAAGCACCTCACTGAGACAATCTGTGTGGTGCACAGACATCCACATCCCCATGCAACCCCAAAGCAAGGCAGGACCTCAGTAACAGGAAATTAGTCAATGGAAATTCCAGTATTTTAATGTAATCAGCTTCCCTTGGGACTTGGCCATCACTGGCAAGTCTTTGAGAGATGTCTCAGCAGGATGTAATGGTTCTTGTTAAAATTTCCTGGAGTGGAACAGAACCTACCCTTGGTTGCTCCTAGTAGCCTGTAAAAACTTAATTATTACCATTTATTCATTTCTCTCCTGGATTTTCTAGGGATGGAGTAATGCATACCCTCATCTACCTTCATCTGTCACTGGAACCAATTCCTATTCTCTTCCATTCTTCAGGAGTTGCGCTGGCTTGGGTTTTAGAGTCTACACCTGAATTGACACAGATGCAGCACACGCACACACACAGTGCTACATCCATAACTATCAAACTTATCTAAGCCAGTGATTGCTCCTTGTCCAGCTAACTGATTTGGAAAAGATAAAGCAGTTTGCAGGGAGGAAATGGCAAAGTCACAAAATATTAAGAAGCATCCATGATGTCCGTATGTCTGAGATGTAACACAAGATAAACTCCCTTTTGGTCATCAGACAACAGTACCATTTATTGTGTCTTGCACTCTTTTATCCCCTTCCAAACTCCTGGGTTGGGACAGGTCATTGGTCCAGACTTTGAACCAGTAAGATGCCTGCATCCTAGGAAAGCTTCCATTGGCTGTGAGCTTCTGTCAGTCAGGCCAGAGGCTGCTCATAGAGCTGAGCTTATCTGCTTATTATAACTTGATTAATACAACTGCCACAACAAAAGGCAGATACAGCAGTGATCCTGCCCACTAGCCAAGCACACTCGTTCATTTTAATCTTTCCTAAGAGTGCATTACACCAGAACTCCTTATCTGCCCCATTTTTCTCACTGTATCAGCCTTTCAGAACATATAAATCATTATGGAAACGTAACACTAATCTCCATCACTTACATCACCGTTTCAAAACCAGTTATTAATACAAGCAATCAAAGATGGTTTCCTTACCCAGAATGCAGGATGGAAAACTGGCTTAGGGAAAAATCTCATTTTGAGCTCATCAGCTGACAAAGTTCTCTGTTCTGTAGACACATTGGCTGGGGACCTCCCCGAAGGCCCATGTCTCAAAGCTGTGAATGACAGCTCATGTGACAGGCACTGTAGTAAGCATTACATGCTGCTTTGACAAGGTCTGACAAACTACACTCAAGCAGGTGTGGTGGGCAGAAAAAAAGCTGGACAACAGCAACAGTTCAGTTTATTTCTTATTCCCTTAAATTTCTTTAGATTGCTAGCACTGCAAGTGTTAGCTTTTAATTAATGGTGTCTGTAGTGCACAGAAAACTCTCGTTACAGGCTAAAGAATCAGGCTCTAAACTGAGTGACAAGTTCCAAGGTAACTAAAACGGAGTTTTATTTTATAACTAAGAAAGAATAATACTCTTAAACTATGTAAAACTAATTTAGGTTTTTCTGCAGATTTCAACCTCTTCCAGTCACTGGGACATATGAGCACTAACATCACTACTCCCAGCCAAACCAAAGTGGTTTGTTGCATGATATGAACCTTCTGCATGCCTCCAACATGTATACTAGGACAGGATTATCCAGGCTTTTCCTCCAGTGATTTCATTACACACCAAATACCTGATATCACCACCAGCCCATGAAATCTATCTTCTGTGTCTCATAAATCAACATCATCAGCATAACCAAGCAATGAAATGAAGAGAGATTTGTCATTAAGATACTCAGAAATTATGACATGCTACACCGTTCCAGCTCTCAAATCCACCCTCCTGGAGTGATAAGACCAGCAAGTATTCCCATGATTACCCACAGCTATCACGTTACTAAACCCTGCTTAGTCTTACACAGATACAACATCTGAAATCCAACATCTTGGTTACATGGTTTAGCTCAGTATTTATAAAATATTCATCTGGGAACTTCTCCAGATAGAACACTCAGAACACAGTATTTTAATTTATGTTTCTGAGCCTTTTGAGTTGACTTAATCTGATACTTACTGTTGGCAGTAAGTCTAGAGCCTGTGCATTAACTACGCCTTTCTCCACAGTAGATTAACTCTGTGGGAAAAAGTTCAGTATTGCAAGGCACTTCATGTCCAATTTTACAAGTCATGATTTTACATACATCTGTCAGCTACATAAACTGTATTTTTGTTGTGATCACTGAAAAGTCAATAATGTTCACTAACTACTGCTTCCACCTGTATTCTCTGGTATGTAATGGTAAAGTCTATACAGAAACTGCCAGAAAGGCAGTTTAAAATGTTTTACTGCACTATATATACAGAAATGCAATACAGGCAGTGAAAATTATGCAGACCTCCAGGAGCTTTTCTTTAAATTCTGTTAGGATGAATAGTTAAAAATATTCCCCAAACAGGCTACCCTGCAGAGCTGGTCTGTCAAACAATTCTGAAAGAACACAGATACAGTTCTGCTGCTGTTTCAAAGTGTGCAGAAGCCTGCCAAGGCAGCAGAAGAATAAAGGTAAATTATGTACTCAGGAAATGTGCAATCTCAGTCTGCCCCAAACTGAGATTGCACATACTGATCTCACAAGCCCTGGCTTCAGAACAGTGAAGAGTTTCTTTGTAATGCTTTATTTCTTGAGATGGTTTATAAGGAGAAATCAAACACTAAAGCCCTGGAACAAAATCTAAATGAAGCATAATCCACCTTATGAGTTATAGCAAAAAAACATTCTGGACAACATCAGGTTTTACTACATGTAATGGCTTTATGAAATGTATAAATGTTATTGTTCTATAAAATACATTTTTCATTCCAAAAGGCAAATTATATTTCATATTTATTCAGGACTTTCCTTTCTAGTGCTTTAAACTTACTTTTAAAAGAAAGACGCGGGATTGCCAAATTAAAGGTTTATTATAGTGTTTTTATTAACAAACTTTCATTGGAAAGTTCTGGGCGCATTAACATAGGAGGCACATTGGCTTCGATGTTTGGCATTTGACAGTCAACAGAATTGCACTTTACAGCAATTGCCTTGCCACAACAGTGTGAACTTTCACAGCAACCCTCGGAGCGAGCCTCTCTCCCTGACCTGGTCAGCAGGTGATTTTTATCATTTTGGTCTGCTTTCAAAACTTGGTCATTCTGCAAAGAACACTGATCTGTCTTGCTGTCAGCTTTCTTTTTCTGCTTTGACAGAGAGGCTTTCTTGCTTTCCACCTCGTTTGCTTCTGTACCACCCTTTTCATCACACTTACCTGTCTGCTGACAGAATCCCTTTTGATTACTTTGGACACTGTTCTCACATTCCGAGCAACGCACTATTAGAGGTGCTGCATTTCGGTAGAGGAACTGTGAGGAGCTCATCACCTTTGGAACAGTTCTTACGTTTTCCTCTGGGTTTTGATGAGCATGTGTATCTGTCCTGTTTATTCTCTGATGTGCCTGGAACTGTTGCACAGACCGGAGGAAAAAATTTTTAGGCAGAGAGTTTTGTGTCATTGTTCTTTTGAGCCTTCCCTGAAGGCAGTCGCAGTGGAGGATATGCTGGACTGGATGCACGTAACCCTCGGCAGCTTGCTGTAAAGCATTTATAGGAACTACAGAGCTTTGGATCTGTACGGTCCCTGGGGAGGGAGAACACTGGTAACAGAAGGTGTCACTTAACTGCTGACAGGAGTGCGGACTCCACTTCACTGTCACCTGTTTATACGTATCAGGACAGCTACACTGCCTGTTCTGAGAGAAAATTGGGCATATGGTGTGTTGGTCAACAGAGGTCTGGAGCACAGATGAATTAGCAACGTTTTTGATGCCTTTACTCACTTCACTATTATAGGCTGGATGCACAGGCACAGATGAGTTTTGGGGCCTGCTGCTGAAAAGCTCTGAGCAGATATGAGTTTCCCCATATGTCACTTTCTCTGCAGGGTTACAGATTCCAGTTTGTGATGCCAGAGGCTCAAGCTCATAGTGCTCATGCTCCATTTCTGGTTTTTGGCTTCTGGAGTCCATCTGGTACTTGCTAACAGGGTGGGATTTGTTTTGACTTCTGCCCCCTTGGGCTCCTGAAAAGGCCTGAGAGAAGGCATTACACCGCAGTCTTTTTGGTAGTGGGATCTGGCCACAAGTGCCCTGGGGCCCAAGGCATCGGCACATGCACTGGAAAAAGAATGTTGCGAAAGCCCAACTAATGCACATTATAAGCATCATGAAAGTGCCAAGCTGAGTGTATGCCAACACTGTCGAGGGCATCATCATTGCCCCAGCTACAAATGTAGTCAAGGCAGCCATTGCAATAGCAGAACCCATACGGCTTAAAGAAAAAATGACCTTCCCCTCTCGGTCAGGGTCAGGGGCCAAGCGATAAGCCACTCCATAATGAACAGCAAAGTCCACTGACAAGCCAACAGCCACTGAGATTGTGACAGATTCCAACACATTCAGCTCCCACCCAAGAAGAACCAGAGAACCCACTGTGACAAAAATAGTTCCAGCTATTGAAATGATTGCATAAAGGCTTATGATTATGTTCCAAGTTGTAAGAAGCATTACGCTAAATGCAACGGCAACTGAAAGGCCCATGGCAATCAGAGTACCATCAGAAAGACTGTCCTGAAGATCATAAAATTCAAGGTTACTCACAAACCAACCATTGCTAAGACCTTCAGGAGCAGAACTAAGCTCACTTGAAATCCATGAGTCCACCTCTTTGTAGAACTGATGCATTTTCTCATAAGCCAGTGTGAAGAGGTAGGTGCTTTGGAATTCTAACACCACTGCCCTGATGGTATCATTAAGGTCAAAGCGAGGTCCTGGGGTTTTGCTATCTAAATGGTACCCTGTGCTTCTTTCTAGCTCCATTATAGCTCTCTTAATACATAATTCAAAAACTTCTTGTTTGTATGGAAAGGTCCAGTGGCTGCAGCAGGGGTAAAGAGATGGCTCATCACAGTCTTGATTCTCCATCCATTGCTTAAATGTTTCAATGAAGCAGCTCGTGAAGTCTTGTTCTTCTGTCTGATAAAAAAAGGTTTGATTTCTTAACTTTTGACAGAAACGTAAAATCCAAACCTGCGAAGCTGGGCTAGCAATATTAAAACTGGTATCTAGCTGCAGCTCTCCTTTGCTTTTAGGGTTTAAAGGATCACCATTATCCTCAGGTGTGACACCCCAGATTACGGTAATCGGCATGTGGAGCTCTTCTCCGTGGTGGACACGTTCAAACATAAAAAGTTTTTTGTATTCTGCATCGTATCGTTCAAATGGGTGAGAAGACCTAAACACCTGAAACTCTGAGAGCTCCAATGATGGCAATTTCATCTTTGGATTTACACACACGATATATGCTCCACCAATTGTTAAGGCAAGGAACCAGAAAAGCCAAATATACCGAAATTTGATAACAATGCATGGCAAAACTTTCTCAAAAAATATCCTGGATGCTTCTGAGACTGCAAAAATAATCTTGTGGAACATTTGGCACAACACTGTCCAGCAGTTTTTGTTGTTGCATACCCTCTGCTGAGGTTTCTTAAAGCAACTGAAAATATTGACAAGGTATCGTTCATGTAATACAACTACAGCAGGCAGCCATGTAACCATCAAAACATAATTAACCAGAATGGCAGTGCCAGCATAAACACCGAAACACCTGATTGCTGTGATATTGCTGACGTAATTAGCATAGAAGGCAGCAGCGGTTGTAAAACTTGTGACAAACATGGAAAGAGCAGCGTGTTGCAATGTGATGCTCACTGTCTCAGAGGTGCCAGCATGAGGTTTATCAAACTTTGTGTAGTTCCAAACATCACATAAGACAAAAGCATCATCTGCTCCAATCCCAACAAGGATAATCAATGCCGTGAGATTCATGAATGGGAAGAACTCAAAATTAAACACTACCCGATAGAGAAAATAAGAAATAATCAAGGAACTAATTATTGCAAACATAGTCATTAACGTGATAAACATGGACTTGGTGTACACACACATAACTAACAGGACAATTACAATGGCTATGGCAGGATACACAGTATCCATCAACAGATAATCTTGAAACAATCTATGTTTTATTCCGAACTCAATCCCCATGATGGTTGTTACACCATCAGAAGCATTCCAGTTCTCAAAGTTATCTAGGTAAATACTCATCATGCTTTCCCCTTTCTCAGTGGGAGAGAAGAGCATGCTGTATTTTAAAGCTGGTAATACATAGTCAGCTGTCTTTGGGCTTAAGAAATCCTTGTCCACTAGATAGTGAAGGATCTGGTAAACAGCATTGTACTTGGTACATTTTCGAGGCACGTTTGTACACTTGAGTTGGTCCTTCCTTTTGGCATTCATGTCCCAGCAGTCCGGCCCCAGGGTTCCGTTGTAGTAGTATTTGGCACAAGTGCGAAGCAGCTTTAGGGTGTGAGAGACATCCCGTTCGACAATTTTCTGACACGATGACCTGTTGTTTAGAATAGCAATATAGTTGCCCAGTGTCCAGCTGGGACAGCATGAAGCAGCAGTGGCTCTCTGGCAGAGATCACCAAACTGGGAATGGGATCTGATCTGTATAAAGACAGGGAGACAAATCCAATTTAAAGTAACAGTCTGAAACATTCAGTAACCAAAAAAAAAAACCAACCCAAAAAATTTCTTTAAATTATGAAATTTCAGTTTATGTTAATATTTGCCGTTAACATATTAAATTCTTATTTCCACATACACTGCTTTTGATCAGTATCCTCTTACATGCAGCAGACTAAACCAGCCAGTATACAGACTTGTCACAGTGGCACAGAATTGGCAAAAGTGTTAAAGAGTATTATTTGAAGATCCACTGAAATGTTTTATTTCTTTCCAGTCTGAGATCTGTTAACTCTCTTCTCATGCTATACTCCTGAGAATAAACAATCAGCCATACATCAGTGAAGTTTCATTCTGCTTGTAATCATATCCTGAAGTTCCTAGGAGAGGCAAGGACTTACCATCCTGAAAGGAAGGATGTGACAGCTTTACCATAACTTTCATCACCTGATCTCTCTTCTACAACCCTGATTTTATTAATCTCTTTTAGCTCTTGTACAGCTGGCAGGCACTGTCCCCAAACAGCTCTGCCTGCCACCCAGGCACTGCATGTCCCTAAGTCATGCAGGTTTTCCAAAGCACAAGGTAATTCCACTGTCATGAAGCACCCCAAAATAACAGGTCATGCCTCTGAACACTGCACCCACAGTGCACAGCACGTTCTGGTTAAAGATACTCCTCAACCAAGTGAGTCTTAATCCCTTATGGGGATATTTTTCTTTCACTTCCAGAATACTCCAGACTTAGTTGAAGACAGCAAGAGCACGACTTAGCTAAGTGACCTCAAGACACTTCTAAACAAACTGAAAGTAACTATAAACCAGAAATGAAACTCTAACAAGGTTAGATTAGGGAAATTCTCTCAAGATGAGAAAACTCAATCTTTGGAGAGCACGAGGAATAAAAGTCTCCAAAACCAGAACTTCTGTTATATGTGACAAAGTAGAATTAGCCCTTCAAATAGTTAAGATATATGTCAAAGTTATGTTTTGATCAAGTTACACTGAATATTACACATATTAATACAGTCACATAGATAAAGCCATGTTCTTCAGATTTTATAGGAGTGCATCCTGAAACAGTTGTCCATGTATGCTTTAAATTTAAGTGATCTGAAAGAAACCACTTAGCCTCTTTTTTCTTTTTTTTTTTCTTCAGCAAAATTGCTCAGGCTTATTATTAGCAATCCTTCATAATGCAGACCAAAAAATACACTTGGGAATTCTCTCAGCAGTTATAAAAGCTTTAATATGGACCAAATTTTGTCAACCAGTTTCTGAACAATAACAAATTGGCATTCCAAAAAACCAGGATAATTCAAATTTGATTGTTTCCAGATAAAAACTCTCACACATGCAAACTCGGGAAAAACTGAACAATCAACTAAATAAAAGGAAGCACTGGAATAGCATATCTGTGTTTTTCATGGCACATCTCCAGGTTAGTCCTATGAGGATGTAATAGGCAAACTGGGAGGAAAGGATTGATTTGTCTTCTCTATGTATTCAGGTTCAAGATGGGACCATGACATTTATACATTGTTCTATGCTTGCTGCAGGCCATAAACATTCACTGGCAAAGTAACTGCTGGCAAAGATAAAGTAACATGAGGTGGTAGCTGGAAATTAGAAAGTAAAATACAAAATTTAGCTCCTGATAGTTCATTAAAATACTACGTTAAATGTTAATAGATTGTAGCATTGGGCTTTGTTGGTGATCCAAAGGAACTGGAAAGGTCATTCTGGTGTTTCCAGACCTGCTCTGTCCCTGGCACCACTTCAATTTACTTTGGAACAAATAAGAAATGAAACTCTGCAACCTGCACACATCAGTGGGCAGATCTGCCCAAATGGCTCTCTGCAGTGACAGAGAATCACAAATCCACTGCTGTGGGGAAGCAGTCTTAAGACCTAATATACAGTCATTAAAGTTTATAAAATAGCTGTTTACAGTTTATATGGAAAACATTCTGCAATTAACAGGTGGAAAAAAAAAGCTCCTCTTATCCAAGAAGTAAAAAAATTGGAACACCTCCCATAACTATTTTGTATATAAAGTTTCCATGATGATTATACGACTTGCATATGCTGAACAGCTGCAGGGTAGAGCCCCTAAATGTCAGTAAAACCTATAGTTAAAGTAGTTTCAAGCAGATAGGAATACAATTAATACATAGAGGATATGCTGTTAGTCCCATACTAAAGCCAATACTAGTTGGTGCTGATATCCTGCTTATCATCAGAAAAATACATAAATTCAAAGGTTTGCACTTCCAGCAAGGAGCACCTGATTTTCCTGTCTTTGAATACAGAAAGCTTTTCCACTTAATTCAACAGAACTGTGGCCCTGAACAAGCATGAGCTCAAAACCAAAAATAACTACAGCCAGAAAAGAGTCTGTAAGACCAGAAGGTCACCAAAGTCATAGATTTTTTTGTTATGACTGCAGTGCAAGTCAGCATCCTCTGCCTCCCTAGGGACTGGCTGCTAGCAGAACTTAGCATTTAAAAGTGGGACATAATCACAGCACTTTGTGAGTTCTAAGAAGTGTCAGATGTACTTAAAAATTGCCAGAAAGTGTTCAAATAATTAAAAATGTTATTTATAAGTAACAAGCATTTAAAAAGAAACTATGAAAAAAACTTCATCCCTTTCTGAGCCCTGAGTATCTAATTTTTAAAATAAATTTATATGCACAGACCAGCAAAAATACCAAAACCTAACCATACTCGTTTTTCCATACTAACTAGCTAAAAATCAATGCTGCTACCATGATGCACTGTTGTTCTGCTCAGCTGAGGCCTTAAATTACTTTATTCCTAAGTAATTTACAAAGAAAGATCTGCAAGGTCATTATTTACAACAAAATTTTTTATAAATATCTACACAGTTGTGGGTGTAGATGATGCATCAAACATTTCATTTTCTGAAGTGTTCTTATTTCAAAGGAAGAGTTGGTTTTATAGGCCTTGTTTGTTGTAGTAAAGTAGTTTCATCCTTCCCTCAGAAGGTACAGCCATATTTGATATAATACATTTTTATCAAGGTGAGCAGATGAGGAGGAACAAAAGAAACAATTCTCAGTAGTAATGTAATCATTGGAGAGATTCTCTTCAGAGGTAATTAACTATCCTCTGTTAAACAGAATGATGTTTTTTAATTCAGACTGCATTGCTTTACAACGATCTGCACTACCTGGGATTTACCTGCATCAGCTGCCTGTGCAACTGAACCTCTCTACAGTAAATGCACAGATTAGCATCTCCTTCCTCACTCAGCCTCAATTTTTACCCTTGTTAAAGGTTATTCTCCCCTGGATCTCCTGATTGAACTGGTGATGTGATGACTCCCTAGCTCAGCTCATTCAAAACTGAGCTGGGCTGCTTTAGATCCCGTACTCTTGCTCACCTGCCTTGTTCTGATTGCAAGAAAAAAGGGATAAAACCACATGAGCCATCCTGTCAGTGCAATCATCTCTGATGGGGAAATACAGAAGATTTAACAAGCATGTGAGGACAAAACTCACTTCCAACAAGGGAGCCAACCAGGACAAAATGCCTGTCAGCAGACTGCCAAGGGAGATTCATTATACAACGCTCCACTACAGTTCAACATTTTAAGCCAGCAAATGACGGCTGTTGTAAAGAAAACAGTTTGGGAATTTGCTAAATTAATACAGTTGTCTAATAGGCAATGATCAATCCAATAATGAAAATATATCCTATTAAATAAATGAGAAATATGAATTAAGTTGTCTATGATTATTTTTGTTTTGGAGAAGAGCAAAGTGGAAATAATTTGTTCAGTATTAACAGATGAAAAACATATTGCTTCATTTCCATGCAAAGTCATCAGTATGTGAACCAAAAGTTCATTGTTACTCAGTTCAAAGGAGTTTACTCCAGCAAGTGGCAAGCTTATATTTTACAGATAAAGTAAAGTTTAAATGAAAATTAGTATCTCTAGCTATTTTACCTAAGTTCCTTTGCTGTCCATTTAACAGCCTATTCTAAACTAACAAAAAGAAATTAATTTGAGTGATCCACTGGGTGTCAGAGAAAAATGCATATATTATGAGACTATAGTTAGTTCACCTGGAGGTGAAAACACAAGAAAAATCAATTATTTGCTGGGACCCAAGAACAAAACTCCATAGAATAATATTTTATAAGGAAACACACAGTAAAATTTAAGATCATTCTTTCCTGAAGCAACCTTATTCTACCCAAATCTGGATGCTATTAGTAGAAAACTCAAAGAAATTCCCCAATATATAACCTGATCTACAAATTGAAAGTTGTTTTTTGACAGCATGTACATGCTGACTGATCATTTGACAGAAGTTGAACCACATAAAGTCCTCTCATATGCTACTGGATGGCAGTGGGCAGCAAACCAAAGTTTCAAATATATGCTCTGTATTTGCAAGCGAAACAAATGCCAAATTGACTTACCCTCAAGTTGTCTACATTGCACATTGACTTAATTGCATTCAAATTCCATAAATTCTCTCCTTCTGTTGATGTAAACACCACTCGTGAATAGCGATCACCTGGAATTACAGAAAGGGGTTTTTACTGATTGTTTGGGTGGGCCTGGTATCAAAGGCTGAGGCAAAATCCCACCATTCAAATGGCACATGGGAAATCTTTGTCGAGCCATGGGAATTCACCTCCTTTTCAAGATGACCTGTTTATCTGTAACACTCACTCCATGTGAAAGTTTCCATTTCCTTAAGGAGCTTACAGTAAATATGGCATCTTCAATACTACACACCACTCAGAAGCTCTACAGACTTCCATTCAAGCAAACTATCTTCTGAAATATGACAAACAAAAATCAGAAGATCTAATCAGCAAACTATTAAATTCTTGGCACAGTATAATGGCAGTACACTGATAACAGTAATCAAAGGCTGATTTAGTATGTCATTTGGGAATATAAATAATAATTATAAAGCTGTTTCTACAAGAATGTTTTTGCTTTAGAAGCAAATGACTGCAGTGGAAATTGTTGTGACATCCTTGAGGCCATTTTCAAGAATTCCACAGTTTAGAAACATGGAGCTTAAATTACAAATTAAATCATATTTATCAGAAGACAGATTTAGGAAAGCAAATAATTACTTAGTGGCAATGAGATCTGTCTGCAGAGCTCACAAGGGAAACAAATATACAAACACAAATATACACAACTGTTTAACACAGTATGGTACTCTGGGTTAAGAAACATGATCACATTAATTAAAGTATTCCAAAAACCCAAAAGGCTGAATTTTCCCCCACTGCTGTGAAGCTGCAGAATTTTTGCCTTCCACAAGGCTGCAATGAAAAGACTCAGGGGCAGTGCTTTATGATCTCCAACGATGCTTACGATCAAGGGAACTGAAATCTAGAGGTCCTGCAGCAGACAAAGAAAGATACCAGGAATAACAAAAGTGTGTCAAGAGGAAATCAACTGTTTTCTTTACATAATGGACTGGCAAATTTTCCCAGAGAAATGCAATTCCTTCATGACTGTCACAAACTGAGACTATGCAGAAACAGCAGAGGAAAGGAAGAGAGTGAGACTGTGTAGAACAGCAGCCTGGATAAGAGGAGTCAATTCTGCTTCAAGAATGCTCAGCAGAGTACCAAGTACATTTTCTGTCCCTCACTCATGATATGTTAATGTGGTTCTGTTCACAGGAGCAGAAATGATGACGTTGCTCCCATCCTCTCACTTAAATGTAAGCCTATACTACAATTGAAAAAAAAGAATAAAAGTCTGTTTTCACTCTGGTTTTCCCTGGTCATTGCTCTCTTAGACCAAGTAATCTAAACAAACAATTTCACAATTGTGTTTTTGTGCTCTGTTATCAGTCCTCACATGTGGAAGTAGCCACTAAAGAGCTCAGGTCCTTCTATGAATAGAGGCAAGATCTACATCTCTCTGTCAGAACAGGACTTATCAAAGTTCTGCAGTGTGCCTTGTAAAAAGTCAAAAGACTTTTGTCTTTTTTGTCCTCTAGTTTAACTTAGTCAGCTTCATAGCCTACAGTGCTTTAAGGTGGGGACATTTTATTTTTATTTCTGTTTCTTTAAGGGGGATGTTTTCTTCATTGGGTTTTTTGTGTCTATTTTTTTTTTCCGTACATAAACCCCTACATTCTGTACAAAATACAATTGGTGGATGCCTTTAGGACATACACAGGAAAAGTATTTTTTGATTTAGATTTTTTAGAATTAAGTTAATGGCATGGACAAAACATAACTTCTTCCCAAACGTGAATTAAGAACTAGATCTCTAGCCACACACAAAACACTGATTTTACAATGTTCAGTACTATCAAGAACTAATAAAATTCCTTGCAGGAAATGCAAACATTTAAAGGAAGCACTTCAAGTAAATACAGTTTTTTTCTGAGAAAGAGTCAGTAGAATGGAACCAATAAGGCAAATCTTTAAATAATTCTGAAAGTGACTTTGAAACATTTCAATCCAATTTTACCAAGATTTCTGCACGGTGAAAGAAGGTATTTATTGTGTTTATATATTAAGTTAAAAAAAAACTTCCTAATATGGCATACAATATACAGAAGAGTTCAGAAAACTCTGAACTCTCAGAAGTTTTTAGCTTTCCTTGTATAATTTCTCCACTTACTTGGAATATCACAGAAAAAGGTATCCTTGTGGAAGTTCCAGTCTGCTTGCCTCTTCTCTCTTTCATAGTGGTCATCTGACCATCTGTCATCTTGATGACTAAACCAGAACAAAGGGTTTCACTTTACCTTAGCAAAGAAATCATTAAAAGAAGCACCATCCAAACAAGTCACACAGTTTAACAGCTCTTACACCTGAGAAAACATATTTTTACCAATGTGATTTTGGGATACAAAAACTGAAACAATAATTTAATTTTTTCTTTAAATTAAGAGACTTCAAATGAAAGGACATTGAGTCCAGTACCAAAAATATCCATAGAGAAAAGTACAATTATACATTTTTTAAAAAAGCTTGCAGTGGGAAATATCTAGCCTGGTATGAAAGGCCTTAAATACTGCAGAATATTAGACTCTGTATTTATTGAAATCAGTGGCAGTATATATTTTAACTTCAGAGCGTACTGGTGAAAGCACGATGTACATACAAAACCACCAATAAAACAAAATTTACTTTTTTATTATAAAGTCTTACCTTTTAGCTTGCTCATCTGCATATTTGAAAGGGTAGTTTGCAAGTGTTGCTTTGTACCCTGTGTTTTTCACCATGTTGTTCCATGTGACCAGTTTCTGTCCTATGGCTGTCCCTCTGGGTTCAAAACCCTAAGGGGAGAGAAGCACAAAATTCCACTAATGCTTTTCATTCTTCAGCTCAAACAGGAGAGTGGAAACACGATCAAAGTGATGGATAGCTTTCACTATGAAGCATAATTACTCCAGGCATCTACTTTTAGAAGTAAAATGCTTCATGACAAAATGACTGATTGTTGAGAGTGACGAGGGATTAAGAATTCTTGCCTGTCCTACTGCTCTCCCTGAGAAGAGATGATTTAGTTCATCCAATGTTCAACACTTGGTTTTCAGAGGAAGGGCATTCTACAAAGTACTCTTCTGTATCTCAATAATCACTCTTAATTAAGAATAAGGCAAATATTTAAATAATTTTAAAAGTGACTTTGAAACAATTTTAACAACTTGGCTCTTCTCCAGAAATATTCATTAGATATGGATTTGTAGGTACACATTCTATACTATAAATACCAATGACTTACAGGAACAGTTTATTTTTATTTGAGGATAATGATTAAATGCCATATTTTCAATTAAAAAAATCCTGAAAGCTACTCATGCTTAAGACAACTCATAAAAGTAAAAAATTAGTGCAATGTTTAATAGAATCTGATAAAAAGAACTTTTATCCTTACAATATGGCTATCACTTTATCCTCAGAAGGGACTTAGAATACCCTCTCCTTTAACAGATCCTGGCCTTCTTTGAAACCCGATTTAGAACGTATGGTCTGTGCTGTACATCTAAAACTGGGATGAATTTACATTATTCAATCTGAAGCAGTTCTGTTGAAGGACACATGATCTTAGCAAAATGCAGAGGGCATGGAAACTAGCGGGTAATATTCTTTGATGGCAACTGCAGCTTTTTATTATCATTTGCTGCTCCAATGTCAAGATTTAATACTGTATCAATTGCTGTATTTGCATTTGCTGTTTACTGGTTCCAATGGAAAACATGGCAAACGAAAAATACTTATTTGACAGGACAACTGATGGGTATTGACTTACCAGCAGTGGATCAGAGAAATCTGGAAGATCTGGAACTAATATTCCCACGAGTGCACACACCACTATGAGCACAGTGCACATGCCCAGGACCACCACAGGCCAGTCAGCGATGAGCGCAGCATAGCTATGGAAGAGGAGCAGGGAGAGGTGCTACAGCAACAAAAGCTGCCCACAGAACTAATCTATACTTCTCTCAAGAGCTTTTCAGATCAGACTATTATTTTTCCCCAGGATTTGGACAAAAAATGCAAGCTTATCCATGATTGCAAGCCACTAGAAAAAGGTGATTTGTCAAAAATTTAGTGAGAGAAAACGTGACTACTTGGGATCTTTTTAAAAATTAAGCATTTTGAGAAAAATATCCAAGAAAGAAAAAGATCTGTTTTAAAGTAGAACCCAAAGAAAACACTTCCTCTATTTTTAAAATAGTCATTAAAAAATATTCAAAGCCTACATACTCATGATCCATGAAATCTGTTATAGTTCAAAGATGCAAGGGGTTGGCAAGATGATATATAAACTAACGTTAACTGTCTAGTCTTACAGCATAACATCCATCCTTGGATTTTAACACCTAGTTCATTCTAAATTTTATGAGTGGAAGAATTATTATATGCAAACCTAATTTTCATTATTTTTGTAAAATATTTTTATTTTTGTTAATTCAAGAGAAATGTTCAGAAAATTAAGTGAAATCAAGAAATCTTCATTTCTAAATGATTTTCTTACAATAAAGAATTGAATTCATAGAGTTTATGTTTCAAAAGCAACACTGTTTAATACTGGGAGCAAAGAGAGTATATGAAGTCCCATAAAGGCATTAGAAAAGTAATTACAGGCTATGAATCCTTCTATACAAATGGTCTCTGTAAACATTAAATATTGATCAAGATCTCCACTCTTATTTCCTCCTCAACTTCAAGCAGCATAACATGAAAGTTTACTGCAGAGAGCTCCTTTACTTATTTCTACTGTCTTGAAAGATTATGGCTCTTTTTCAGTTTTAAGAGCAACTTGTTAATTAATCACAATACAATTATCATCTTGACCGAAATTTTCTGTCCTGCTGCTAAGAAGGGAGGGATTGTCTATCTCCCCACTCCAGGTTCCCAGTGGGTTCCAAGTGCTCTGACTGCAAAATCAATGGCATATGCAAGCTTATTCCTGTTTTTCCGTAGCATGTGGAAATAGGCACCTCTAGGGGTCTAAGTACAGCGTTGAGGAGCAAAGAAATCCAAATCACTGGGTGTTTCTCCATTTCCCATTAAGTAAACATGGAATAATTCTGACATGTTCACACAAGAAGTTAATTAGCAAAAGCTTGAAAAGCAATCTGAAGTCAAAATTTTCATTAAAGTCAATCACAAAGGGGCAGCTTGCCAAATGAGCAATTGTACAAAGTAGAAGTGAAGTAAATGACCTAACAGAATTTTCCTATTTATAGGACCAAATGTTTTTCTAAACTCCAAGCTAGACTGACTAGTTATTACAGACATTTGCTCTGAAGTCATAAAGTTATACCCAAAAGATTTATTTTCCTATTTATCACTAGTGCCAGATTTACCACTTTGACATGTTGTCTCTACAGTTCCATTCTCAGCTGAGCACTCTTAAATTGGGTAAATTCTTTCAGCTATAAAATAAACTCTGTCCTAAGTGATAATAAGCCACATACAGAAAACAGTGAAGAGCTTGTTTACACCTGCAAATTTCTCTTGTTTCTTTTACCACATACTGAAATAAAGATAAGCAAAGCTGACCTTGGCTGACAAGAGGACTGACCACTCTATTTTTAATTTTACCTCTCTGAGCATTATTTATGCTGCTGAGGGCTCCAGCTCCAACCAACCAAGTTGCCTAAAACCAGCCTCAACCCCAACCCACTGTACATGGCTAAAGAAATGGTGGGTTTTGAATTTTTTTATTCAAAGCTATAATTTAATTAAAAAGCTATAACATGAGTTTAATTACTTTTTTTTTCTCTGTGAGGAGGAAGCCACCACCCTGACAGATTTGGCATAAATGGCCACTTGCCTGAAAATGCTTAAATCAATTCCTCAGTGGAGGAATCACATTGAGAAAGGATATCCTTAGTGCTAAGAACATTCTCTAGTACTTTTCTAAATCAGTATATAACCTCCCACTTTTGGATGCCTAATTAAAACTATTTTTTGTTCGTGCAATGACCTAGACATACAGCCACACTTACAACTTCTTGGTTTTGTTTCATCCAAAATATTCCAGCACTGAATGATGAACTCATATAAGTTTGACACTGAGTGAAATACCATTTTTATGCCATTTTTCACTATTTTCTATTTTCAGTCTGTTAGAATGGTACTAATTTTAGCTAGCTATGTACCATTAAAATGTAGTATTCACTAATTTATTTCTTCCTGATGTGTTTCACACACCTAAAAAAGGTTTGATTTCTTTTTAGTAGTTTTTTTTTTTTCATTCATGTTCTAAGTAACTCAAAATGTTTAGGAGATACAGTAATTCAGTCTATATTTAGCACTACTAAAAGCACCACTGCTATAAAGCAATTTGTCTAAAGGTGATCCATGACCTCAAATATTTTCTTTGAAAGGAGAAGGTAAAAAAGAGAATGTTTAGGTTCTTTTCCCATTTTAAGCATACTATGTGGCTAGTGAAAAACTTTTCAATTCAGCTCCTATATACATATGTTCTCAGGTTCAACCACTCCTCAGGTTTGTACAGAGACAGAAATGTACCATATATAGTTTTTGTATTGTAAAAAGGTCACGATCAACAATAGATATTTGTGTGACGCAAATCATATCAACACACAGATTTCTACAGAAATACTTATTCTACTCAAATACTTACATATTATATGACATTTAACAAACAGGCTTGCTCTTTACTGAAAGCAAATCCTAAAGACGGACTATTGTCCATCTTTGTGGACAATAGTGTTTTTAATAAATAAACTCCAACAATTGTGTTTTTAATGTCTTTTCACTTGAGATCGTTTCTTGTTGCCATTCTGATGCACTGTTTTAGATACAATGGTCTGTTATTTTCTCTGACCGTGCCATTCTACGGAGCCTATAGAATCCAAGCCCAGTGTTCTAGATTGCATGGGGGTTTAGAAGAATTAAAAACTACTATGACAAAATTTTCAGAACTTGTCTGTCAGGTTTGTTTATCACTATTGATGATACAACCAAGCCACTTCTCAGAGCAACCCTTAACCAAAAAACTTAACCAAAAAAGTACTGAGGCATGGAGTATCCAGGCACAGATTGTAATAAAAAAGCCTAAAATAGTTGAAAACAAGAAGCATTTAAATCTGCATAGATTTTAAAATTCTGGCCTAGTACTAATGAGGAGACTGCTTTTCTGTCTGTAAATGGAGCCTAAATTTGGATATCCTGCATGTTCTATCCCCTTCCTGCTACTGTAGGATTCACAGATGTGTTTTTATGGATGTAAAAGAACTTGGCCCTGGCTCCTTGTTTCAGAGTTTATTTAGGGACCCATTGCAGATCAATTCTTCTAAATGTGGTTTGACCTTGTTGATAGTATCTGGTTTCCCATGGCAGTTGCAGAAGTTTACTACCCACTGCCTAAAGAAATACTTTTAAAGTCTGATTTAATTTGAATGCTTATGTTTTTTCTTTGAATATTCCTTATTCTTGTTTTGTATGGGGAATAACAGTTTTGCCATCACCTCATCTACCACCTTTATAATTCCACAAACTGCAGCTGTGACAGCACTGAACCTTACCTTTTTGGTAACTTCAATGGTCTGGTTGGCCTGAAAGAAGAGAAAAAAAGAGAGTAATTGAGAATGCATGAAATATGCATGCACACACCAATTAGTTTAATTATTCTCATACGTAAGAAAATAAATTATAAAAATCAGATATTTTAGGATATGAATTATTTTGAAAGGCCTACAATCATATTCAATTGAGTCTTTGCAAACAAGTAGTTCAGAGAACAATTACAGCTACAGGCAGCTGGGTTTTCAAAAGTGGAATTTTATGCAGCTGATTTTTGGGATTACTATTCCTGAGGCTTTTCCAGTTTTCAACAAGAGACCAAATAAACTAATATGATAAAAATTCAATACTATTGAAAATCATTACAAAGTTTGCATATGATGGAAACAGACAACCATGAACAACACCATGTTCTGAGTGTAATTCACAAAACTTCACAGTTGTCCTTTGTAATTTCATTACAAAAAATTATTTTGGCCATAAATTCTGTCTTGCCATAATACAGGAAGTAGAATGACATAGGATACCTCTATAAAATATTTTTATCCAAGTTTTTGTTACTTCTTAAATGTCTAATATAAAGTGTATTATTTTGAGAAGGAGGTAGCAAACCCAAGTGAGAATTATTCTTATCTAACACTGTTCAGCGTGCACTTCAATTTCTTAGCTACTGGACCAGTAAGATTCACATAAATTTCACTTAAAAAAAAACCTTCATAAACAATCTGCAAGTCATTTCAAGAACGTGACATAAAATCCCTCCAAAGCTGTAACCATACAATGACTTCAGTTAAGTTATGGATTTGTTTTACCACCAAGGATACATTTAATATTACTTCTTTTAAAACGTATGGAAAGCACTGAGTTAAGAAGCAGGTACCTGCATAATATAGATCACTTAGTAACATCACAATGAAGTTGCCAAAAGCATAGATTTGCATGCTTTCACACACAGATAAACAGGTCAGACTCCTCAGAGATTTTCAGAAAAACTTAATCCACTAAATAGAAATGAAATTTGCTGTTCTTCAAAGTAGTAAGAGTTGTTTACTACTACACCAGAGTAAGATTTGCTCTTTTCAGCCACAAGAAAATTGGAGAAAAGCAGATTCACCATTCTCTAGTTGCAGAGTAACTCAAGGATTAATGAAAGGTATAGACAAAGATTCTCAGTTGAATGCAGCCACAAAAGATTAAATTTATGAAGTGTCACCAACCTTCAGACTAGGTGCACAAATCTGACTTCCAGAGGTATAGAACATACCCAATTTTCCAACTGATGCTAAAAGCTGTTGGTACCACTACAACAGACTCACCAGCAGCCAGAATGTAGAGAAACTCAGCTAAACTGAGTTCTGAAATTACTTTGAACAGTAAATTACCCAAGGCTGAAAAGAAGCTGTGGCAGGCTTGGGGAACTGCTCATTGTCTGATCTACAGCCTCATCCACAAAATCAACTTTTCCCAACTCAGGCTAGACTGGAGGATCAGAAACCAGGTACTGAAGTCAGAACTCACTCAACTTGAATCTGAAGTGAACAGTAACAGGACTCTGGATGAAGAGAAATGTTTACACAGACAGTCCTTTTTATGAACTTTCACCAAGGCAGAGTACACACTGAATGTCCCTTCAAGACTGTATGGAAAAGGGGGCAAAGTCATAGTGCTGGGAATAACAATTTTTTAAACTGCAGCATAATCTCCTGGGTTTGATGAGAGAAAAATATAAGCAGACACACTTACTGTTAGTAAGGTATTTCAAACATTAATTTCTATCTTTCACTTGTAAAGATCTGAATTTCCATATATATTCAGCCATTTGTTTTTGTCTGTGCCATAATAGGCTCTGCCATGAGTAATAATATCAGGCAACACTTTGGCACAAGCAGAGCCATCCAACAACGATTAGTACAGGCTTTGTGTTTATGCTGACCTGTATAAAGGCTTCTATGACTTCCGGTTTATATTAGCAGATTAAATTGTTTTTTTCTGCATGGGGGCTACTTTAAAATTAAATTTGTCTAATTTGGTTTACACAAAGTGGGTAAAAATACCAACACAATTATTCCACATCCTCCCCTGGACCCATCAAAACCAAACTACATTTCCCTCTGTTTCCTCCACCTGCAAAATATATTCAGTGCTGAACAAATGATGATGATTAAGTTCTTCAAAGCTAGGGAGGGTTAAAGGTCACACCTGCTATCAAACTGTTTTGTTTTGAAAAGCATACATTGAAAAAACCTGGGTACACCCGGGTAAATTCCAGCAGTGTAACCAATCCCTTGCAGCTGTTGTGATGACTTTATTATATTGGTCAATAGGAGAAGTTATCCCTGAAAACTACAACCCAAAATTCTTTAATTATGCTCTAAAATACAGAAATGCATGGCAAAACCAGATCTTTCCCACTTAATGAATGTTGCTGTATCTAATTTTTGAAGTATTATATTTTCATTGAGCCAGTTTAAACAACACTATCAGCCTCCAAAAAAAAGTGTGGACAAAGAGAGTCCTCATCAGTTTTCGTGAGAAAGAAGTTGTGAATTCCACTCTTTTGATGGGACAAAAGCCAAGTTGATCTGTGTATTAAATTACCTTTGTACTTAGTTCTCACAAGTCTGATAGCAGAAAGTGACAATCACAGTTGGTGGTGACAAGACCGCACAACCAAGTTACTGCACAAACTGCAGTCACTGATAAAATCTAATAAACACTCTGCAACAAGAGGGGAAAAGGGAAAGAGGAAGAAAAGGACAGGCTCTGTTCTAGCACCATTTACTGCAAGTGTCAGCCACTGCTCAACACATGCTTTGCTTCATCCTGTCCTTTCCTAGTGGCAAGTTTTGTCTGAACATCATAGAATTAAGAAATACATAAAGAAAAGATAAATTGATTGGTTAAAACTCCCAAATGTTTCTCAGTATGAAATGTATTTTGGATGCCCAGCATCCTACTGTGTAACATGCTGAAAAGGAGGAATGGTGTCTTTAAAAAAGGCTGCTGTAATATCAGTGAGTTTACTCTAGGAAATAACTGAGTATCAGGAGGATTAATCAGCTTTGGAGTGGACTACTACAGCTCCAATTATTCACCTTTCCAGCCTAAATAAGCACTTAACCTCAGGGTTTCTACTGGTATTTTGAACAGTGATGCAGTAGAAATAATTTATTTCTTTGTGAACAAACCTACTCAAATAGGGGCAGTTCACAGGCGTAAAAAATATGATTGCTTTACATATTTTTCAATCTGAGAAAGATAATGACCAATGCTTGAGCTTCCTGGAGGGGAACATGTTGTGCCACATGGCAGCATCCTGACTTTGAGTTCCCAGGGAAGCCAAAGCCTCCTTTTGATTACAGCACTGAATGAGTTTTCTCATGGAAGTTAATAGGGTACATCAGAGAGGGGAGTTTGATCCTAATTTCAAGTATCACACTGGAAAACAAGCTTTTGGAAATCCTATGTATTATTAAATCTAGTTCAGAACTTTCATGTCACCGGGACATCGCATGGCACAAGGCAATATTTCAAAACATGTTCCACAGCATGGGACTTAATAATAATACTATGGTTGATTTACTTCATATGCAGCGTGCTTCATAAATCTAATACATTTAAGGGAAATACAAACCTGAATGTATCAGAGGACAACAAAAGTATCTAGATATTCCAAGGCATTCTTTTTCAGGCTTTCTTCACAAACCTCGGTTGTGAGAAAGGTATCAATGTAAGCAACCCCTTGGCCTCACACCCCAAAGAATTAATGCTTGCTGCTTCCTTAGTGGGTGCAAGAAACCCTGCAGAAGGTAGCCATGAAATAGAAAATTAGGAAAACAGGCTGTGTTTTGAAGCATACTTTGAAGAGTTTTCTAGCGGTTGCGAAGCACCCATCATTTCAAAGAAGTGTTAAAAAGGCAGCTATCAATAACCTAAGAGGTTGAAAGAGATATTAATATGATTTTAAATAGGAACATTCCTGCTTACACTGACAGTAATGTCGGTTGGGGTCTTTTTTTGAGTCAGTTAAAAAGCATCAACACATTCCAAATCATAACTTTGTACTAACTTATCCAAACATTACCTTCCTAAAATTCCTATTACAATTCTGGATATTGCCCTGGCTAAACACTCGATTTCTGACTTATGCCATTTCACTTAGCTGCAATTAATTTCTATGTCACCAAGAGCAGATGTAGAGACTGGAACTTGGATATAGAAAGGCTTTTCCTCTTTTTTTTCCATGGAGGAACAACAAGCCAGTTAGACTTTAAGCTGAAATTAATGCCTACCAGCCTGACATGGGGCAGCACAAAGGCACTGTCTGTGATTGTTGTGCCCTATTTTTAGGTGTAAGGAAACAGCAAACAGCATTGGATAAATCTGAGACTGTGTCAGTGTGGGTGCTTCTCCTCTGTTTCATTCTGGGAGACATGAGCTAAGGGAAGTGGAGGCTGCTCCCCCAGCAATGATATCAAGCACTGTCATTTTGGTGCTGAGCTGCAAAAAATTTTGAAAATAAATGCACAGCTTACTGATATTTATCATAAAACGATTTACTCAATATAGAATCACAGAATATCCCGAGATGGAAGGAACCCATTAAGATCACTGAAGTCCAACTCCTGGCCCTACACAGGGCAACAGATTCATTTTGCACTCTTGCTTTTCACTTAAAGATTCACTGGAGGCAAAAATGGTACGTTGCAATAAATAGCTGAAAAAAAAAAAGACTCTTCTGTCCAAGGATTATGAGGTGTTTAACCTCAATGCTTTACTTTGCCAGAGGGAAACTATTCCCTTTGTTGGTAGATCTGGTTACCAGAAGCGATAAAACATAGCTTTTGGTCATTATTATACTCCTGGATAAGCTAAATCCCTGCAGGACAGAATGAGATATGCATCATATTGTACATTCTCCATCAGAACATACAATACAAACTAAATCCCTGAACGGGAAGAAAATCCTTGTGTTTTCAGAATGTCATTGACCCAATTCGAATTGCTCCTAAATATCAAGTTAGCTTTTGCTGTTACATCAGATGTAGCACCTATGTGCTTTATCATTTTAACAATCACTCAGACAACAAATCCAACAGATTAGATTGCCAAAAAAGTTTTTATAAGCCTCCCAATTTAATTTTTTTGCTACGATGAGCAGTTTTCCATTATTTTAATAATGAATTTTATCTAGATTTTTTTTAAACATGCAGTGTTCATTGTAATTGTCTGCACTTAGTTTTACTTGTTTGGATCTCTAAGGAACAGGACAACCCACAGCAAAATGATCTTGTAGAGGAGAGAGAGAATTCCATTTTTTGGTAAGTTGCTTTTTTAAGGTTTTATTAAAACAAAGAAGATTGCAACTTACTTTCATGGGTTTTCCCCATATAAAATATTAAGGAATAATCCAAAAGGATTTAATATTTTTTAATGTCTAAATTATCAGGGTGAAATTATCTGAAACTAACTGCTATTTCATCCATTAAAATGTCAATGTTGCAACTTTTCTTAATGTTGTACACATGACTGTTCTTTTGCTTAAAATTAAGCAAAATGCAACTTAGCAGACCAAAAATCAATATGCTATTTGGCAACTGTATTACAGATGTCAATTCACATTTTTACAGTTGAGACATCAAGTTTTATAAAAGTTCCCATCTGCTTTTCTTGCTGTGTTCTTACTTACCTCTTCAGTTCCAAGTGAGCATCTGCTCTACTTTCACAGCAAATAGGAGCAAATAAGATTGCCTTTCTGTGAAGAAAGCAACTGTAAGGAAGGTGTTAACAATAAAATAATTGTCTGAGCGATTCTTGCTCTTACTGATTTAAATTCAGCGTAGAAATTTAAGCTTTACTGACCTACAGTGTGCCTACTGGATAAAACTCCATGGAGTGAAGCAAACCCTATATCCTTAACTAAGCCAGCATTTCACTCACTCCCTTTCTGCTATAAAATCAATATTAAACTTTATTAACCTACTCTGCAAAACTAACAGGGAGTTTTGACACCTCTCATGGACAAAACTCTGGCTCATGCCAGATTACAACGGGGAAATATATTTCCATCATGGCACCAGAGATGGAAAAGGTCACTGCAATCCTATTAAGAAGCTGAATGTATTCTCATTTGCAAGTTTAGTAACAGTGCTGTGAGGAATGTCCTAAGAAGATGGGTTGAGGACTTTGGACTTGTCTAATTTGGAGAAAAGGAAGCTGAGCAGTGACCTTATTGCTCTCTACAGCTTCCTGAGGCAGGGAAATGGAGAGGTGATCTCTTCTCCCTGGAATCCAGTGCTGGGACATGCAGGAATGGTTCAAAGCTGAGCCAGGGGATATTTAGACTGGACACTTCTTTATCTAGAAGGTGGTCAAACACCTAACCAGACCTTCTTAGGAAGGTGCTGATGTCCCAGTCCTGTCAGTGTTCAAGAGGCTTTTGGACAATGCCCTTAACAAGATGCTTTAACTGGGTCAGCCCTGAATGGGTCAGGTGATCCTTGCAGGTCCCTCCCAACTGAAATAGTCTAATTTATTCTAACCCTGTATAATTCATTATATGCTAAAATTAAAACTTCTATAAATTTATAACAGGTCATTTGAAACTGAAATGATCCTATTATAATCAACTCCAAGGCTGGGGGTATTGTTGGGTTTTTCCTCCCTCTCCTTTTTCTCACTGCTCTATAGGGATGGTATCCACATATGAGCCCAGGATTTACTGAACAAATCTTCAGTTAAAGGCTCCTCAGAAACCCATTTTTGCAATACTGACTTCTAATGTCTTTCCTCTTTTATCTTTACAACTGACTAAGTATTATCAACCACTAGGAAAGCTGGCTCTTTTCCTTTATAGCATCTACTTGGTTCACCTATCTTGAAAAGGAATTAAATCATCTTCTCTGTAGGAAAATCTGAGAGCATATGAAGGAGACAAGTAATATGGACTCTCCAAACACTTTTCTTGTATTCTTCTTTCCCTAAACTTTTCTCCAACGACTGTAGCCACTTTTAAACACTGCTCCAAAACTATCAACAAGATTGCCATCAAGCATACTTCAAGTGGATTCTCCCTGCTTTAAATGACAAAGTTTATAAATTTAAAATACAATTTAAAGTATATACTTCTTCAAAAGGTTTAATTGAAGCTATATACATATTCCTTAAACTTTTGAAGCACTGAATGCAGGACTATGTAGAGCACTGCCTGGCAAATTAAACAAAAGTTCTGATCTATTAAAGAGAATTTAAAAAAAGCTTAGTAAAATACCACCATGAATCATTATTTGAAAACAAGCCAACAACTAATTTGGAGCAGACTAATATTATTTCAAGATTTTTCACAAGTCTAAAACCATTAGTCTTTTCTCTTTTCTTGGTAATTACAGTGAAATTAATAGATATGTTTTGGGATTTAAATGATGACTAGAGTAGTTTTCAACATTTTTACTGGCAAAAAAGTCCCTTCCTTATTTCAAAGCTGTTTTTATCACACTTCCCAGTTGAATGGAGCAACACAAGGTTATGGCCACATCTTGGATTTCTCTGACAAACAGGAAATTAACATGACTCAAGGAATCACAACATACACAGAAGAAAACCCCCATCTCATGATACCACCAAGAATGAAAATGTCCAGGAGTGCCTATTTTTATGATGGCATCTGTCCACGCAGGCTGAAGTACATGTTCCTATAAGTATTAAAGACTGATATTAAGCACATGGAAGTTTGGCTCTGGAGTGGGGAGACTTGGAGTGTCATAAATCACACTGATACATGCTTCAGTCTTCCTTCCTGTATAGATATAAAACTTTGTGATCATAAGCTACCAGGGAGTTCAGTTTTGCTCTCAGAAAACCTTCTTTGTCCAGAGAACTTTTCTAAAGATAGACTAAAAGCACTTAAAATTTCTCCAGATTATTCATCTAACCATGGGGACAAACAATAGTTTTTACCTTTCTGATCATTTAATCTCTTGGAGCAAATGAAAATACTGTTACTTCAGATCTTTGTTCTAAATTTAGTCAAATATTTCTCTTCAGTGTTGAAGTCCTGTTCCAATATCTGTGAATTTAGTAATTTATATCACTTTTAAGTGATATAAAACAAATGTCTATTCAACACAATTAATATATTTAAAAGGATTTAATATGTAATTGCACAAAGAAGGCTCTCTAGCTTTTGCTAGTGCTAATGAAAACTTGTACATATATAATGCAACATTATCTTTTGGATCTCCTGACATGAAATTTGTTTTGTATGCTCAGTAAAAAGCAAGCAAAAAAAAGGAAATATTTACTGAACCTTTAAGAGCTAAATACATCCAGTATGGTAGCTAAAACCCCCAAAAAGCGCTCTAGGATTAAACAGACTATAAAACAGATTTAACATAATCCATGTTCAGTAAAATGTTTGCAAAAGTTCATCCATTTGACAGAATAAACTAAACATCTTACAAACTGGAAAGGTAACATAAGAATTTTGAGGCAAGGGGTCCTATTAACATGCTAGAAAATATGGGAGAAGTGGAAGAAGTGATGCAAATCAGCTTTTCCAGTCCAGTACATAAATCTATTTATGATTTTACTAGAAAAGAACCAAACCAATCCTTATTTGCCAATAGTGAGACTAAGCTCTCTGAAATATCAGCAGGATTTCTAGTTGTAACTTCCCTTACCTCCATTGATCTGTCAGTGGTACCACCTCATTTCTATTTTGCATTGATAGTCCAGTTTTTAAGAGATTTCTTTGGAATTCAGTAGAATCTCGTTGTAATTTTTGTGTAGCAAAATCAATGCCAAATTGCTCAGGTACCCTCTGTATTTCCCTCTTGCACTGTGTTTAGGCGTTTTGTTTTGTTTTGCTGTTCAAGCACCACTGACCAATTAAAAGTGTGGACATCTATTATTATTCACTAGGAGATGAAGACAACATTGAAATTATCAGAGAGGAAGAACAAGTGATTTTAGAAGGAGTTAGAGACAGAAATAATGATGATAACTCATAAAGAGCTTTCTAAAGGTGATGTTGATAATTTGCACTTTCCCCCATCAGAAGGATGCACTTTCCCCCATCAGAAGGATGCACTTTCCCCCATCAGAAGGAAGACTCAAAACTTTTATGTAGGAATATGCAAATCTTTCAAAACCCATCTCTTAAAGAGTGATGTAAATCAGGTCATTGGCCATGCATAGTTTAGACTGTTGCTCTTTGTTTACTGGTGTTGTCTTATTCACATTTGAATAAGACATTTACTACAACGTCCTACTAAATTAAAAGTACTTGAAAACAACTATACATCATCAAAATATTCCAACAAACTGACATAATTTTGGATGTTGTGGGTTTTTTCTAAGTGCATATAAATGCTCAGTTTTAAAAGTCATCTCAAACCCCACGCCAATTAGTCCTTTTCCAGAACGAGCACAGCTGATGGTGGTTTTCCAGTCAATTTAGTACAAAAGAAAGGAGCCATTTTTTTATGGTTCCCCTCCCATAAAGCTGAGTTTCCCGCAGCTTTACATCTTCTAAGGACAGCAGTTCAAAGGCCCAGCAGATTGCTAGTTATGAGTGAGCTCCTCTGTTGTTCAGGGAAAGGTGAGGGATACAGGGCACAGGAAATTCAAGCACACACAGGACCTGAATTTCCTAAGGAGCAGAATCTACACAGCAATATACAGCCAGGCTGGTCCTCAGCTGCACTTACACCAAAGCACCAAGCACCACCTTCCCATGGCAAAACTGCTTGATTCCAAACAACCTGAAGTCTAGACAAACACTAATGTTTAATTAGTACAATTCCAAAGCCTGCAAAAATCCCCTGGACAGCTCAAAATGACAGGTTTTTTTTTAAATGCACTTAATACTTTCTTAGCCATGCTATTTTTAATTTGATCAGCCACCAAATTATAAATGGCATTTTTATTTGCATTCTACTCTCTGTGTGTCAGCTCTTTGCTTTCAGTTCCAGAAAGTGCAGCAAGTTGTTTCAACAGCCAACAATGCACAGTATTTATCATGGGAAGAGTAAATGAATTAATAAAACCAGAATAAAACTCTTAAGGTATCACACTCAGAGATCATGCAAGACTAAAAATAAAAATGTGTGAAAATGAAGAAGCACAGCTTAAATTAGACTGACATGAAAAAGTATTTCAAAGAAAGAAAAAAACCCAGTTCATTTGGTCACAGGGAAAACCTACTTTTCCACACGGGCTCAACAGAGAATCCCACATATGGACTCAGATGGATGCATGAGATGGCTTCACATTCCTTTTCTTTTTTCTCAACTACATCAAAATCCCAAGTATGCCATTGGGTTGTTAATGCTTCATAATAAGGAGAACTCCTGCTCTGGCATAGAAAAAATGGCTTAAATGAGAACAGAGAAAGAATTTATATTATTTCAGGAACTCCTGATCTATAACGTGAACCAAAAGATTCGCAACACTCTGAACAATGAATGAAATGATGGTCCCAGCTTTTGCTTTTTAGTTGCTAAAGGTTGATAAAACATTTCAGAAATCCCACTTCCAGAAATCTGACCTGAAGGTTTCTTCTTAAAGATTCCTGTTTTTAATCTTTTTAGGGGAAGGCAGAAAGGTTCCTTTATTAATTTTTTAATCATTATATGCACATGTATTTTGTACAAAAGACATTAGTATACAGTTCATATAAAAAGTGAAAACTAAAATATCTTTTAATGCATCAAAAAAAGCAGACGCTAACAACTTTCAAAATAGGATAGGTTGTTAAAAAAGCTCAGTGGAAAAATTTTTGTGAACGGTTCATGTTGCTGAACTGAGGCTATTTGAAAATATTTTATACACGTGTATATGCAAAATCAGCTCTGCAAGCCATGCAGAATGTACTAGATAACCATTATCCTTTTCCTGGAATCAAGCAGGGAACTGTTTCATAACAAAGTCTTGTTATTAAGATTGGTATTTGACAAACATTTCCTTGCTTTTTGAAAAATCAGAGGAGATTTTATTTTTTTTCTGGTTCTAATCTTTATGCCAAATAACTAGAAAGAAAAATCTAAAATGGGTAAGAGGCAGCTGTAGTGTTCTATCCTCCCTTCACAGGTTTTTCATTTCTACAGAGCTTTGTTTTAAAGTATGAAATAAAGTGTAAGTATTCACTTGTGTCTGCAATACTGTTTGAACGGTGTGTGGTACAGAACGCCGAGACAGAGCAGAACCCAGAGTCCCAGAACCATCACATAAATCTGCAATGCCGAAACACTTCAAAAGAAGGTTTAAATCAAACTAAAAGCAAGATGTACAAAAAGTCTGAATGTTTTACCAGTTTCCTGATGCTGTCTTTTGCCTTCTTCAGAATATAAATTGGTCTAACAAGCAAAAGCTTTGAATTCAGCAATTTAAACTAAGCTTTAGGAGCTAAAACCTCCAAAGTAGGCTGGTTGGGGATGAGGAGCAATTCTTAAATTTTATCTAAAGTAAGGATTCTGTGGGGCTTTAAACAGATTTTACTTTCCTGTTCCAGCTTGAGATGATTGCATGATCATGGGGAGATCATTCCATATATCCTTTCAGCCTGTTTTTTTACCACAGATAATTCAGATGCTTTTCAGAACAGTTTTCCTTACTTGTCTGCCGTAGTCAAAAGCATCAACAGTATAGTCTAAAAAAGTAAACAGTGGGTGACACAAAGCAGGTTCACCCTGATCCAAGAGGGCTTGTTTGAATTTATTGGATTGATACTGTGAAAGTGCAAGCACTGCATAAACTGGCAGTCTGGAGCATTTTCCTTAGCAGCGGCACCAGCAGTTCCTTCACAGCTCCCTGACCTCTTCTGCCCTACCTTTTATTTCTGAGTCCACAGACCTAAGCTTTCTAAATTTTATCATCAGAGAGATTCCAGCAGAGTTGACATCAAGATTAAGAGGCACACAGGTAGCTTTTAACTGGTGTTTTCCCACCAAAAACTTCCCATACATGTCTGAAGGAAGCAATCCAATTCGGCCCCAGAGATATCACAATTGTTATTACGTGCCTTCCTCAATCCTGAGACAACTTCCTAAATGATCTCTGCACATCCTTCCTCTGCCACTCCTACTGATATGTATACATTCCTATATGAAGAAGCGGTTTTGAAAAATACCAGGAAAGATTGTAAGAGTTTTCTGGCTTTTTAAAAATGCTACTATTTAGTTCTTCTAGAGAACTATGCAACTGTTCACTATTTATTTCATCCTCCTTTCATCCCACTAAGCATGCTACTGGGCTGCACATTTTTACTTTTCCCTAGGGACTCCCAACTCAGTGCTTCCAGTCATTAGGGATCAATTTTCATGTTTCTTTCACAGCCTTACTTGCTTGGTTTCCCCTATTTCTACCCACCCTGATGAAGGCTGCTGATGACTACAGAAGCCGCAGCAAAGGAGGGGCAGTAACTCATATCTTCCAGGGTGTCCCAGCCCCCAGGTTTCTTGAGATACATAAGTGCATTCCAACAAAAACGGATACTTCAGCATGAGCTCTCCAAAGGGGCAGGATAGAGGAACAAAAAAACCATCCAGCAGTACTGAAGAGAATTAAATGTGCCATGCTTGTACACAGGTAAATTTAGAAATGGTTAGAGCAAATCAAACCTCAAGACAACTGCATTGTGATATGGAGAGATGGCTGGAATTTCCCAGGGAGTGTTTGTGTGGTCAAGATATTATGGCCACTGAAAAAAGGAAGTATGAACCTGTTCATATAAGCTACTTCTTAAATATGTGCACAAAACAACACAAGAAACTTTACTCAAGATCTTCCAACCTCAGAAAAACATCTAAAAAACATCAGAATCATTACAACCAAATGTTGACCTCTTTTACCTATTTTTACAATAGAATTTTTTACCACAATCATCCTGCAAAACACCAACCACTAAAAATATTTCCTTTTATGCTACAGAATGTTTTCACCAACCTAAAAAAATTAACAGTTGTCCAGACTCTCAAGATGCAGTGGATAGATGATGTTTCCATGTAATTTAGTTAAACTTCAAAGCTGAACCCTCTACAAAATTCCAGATCCAGCCAGCTTTAAGAGGATAGGACAAGTGTGGCATTATTTCAATTAGTCTTTACTCACTCCAATCTGCAATGATATACCAGAGCCACATTCCTTTAATATTAGGTCACTGACAAATGTTAAGCCTTGGGCTTCAAAACCTGACAAAGCCTGTTGTGCTGAAACAATTGGTTACCTACCCAGAGCTGTAAGCATCGGTGATACAGTCTGCAGAGTGTTCACCCTCCTGTATCTAATCACAACTTTTCCCCCTTCTTAAAATTATAACAATATTTGAATGCATTTTTTTAAAGAAAGAAGCTAAATTAAGTCTTGTTTGACTACATACTGAATTTAACTAATGTAGAGTATAAGAACCTGCATTTTAAATAACCCTGTTGAAACACGCACATTTCATAAAGCTGGATGATTTCCAATGAACCTTGTAATAAAAATACCTGGAGAAGCTGCTGTGCAGATTATAAGCTCAAACTGCAATAAAATTAAGAGTGTGCAACAATGATCACATTGAAATATCACAGAAGTCTTACTCTTCTGTTTACAGGAAGTGACCCGAACACGTAAAAAATAAATACACATTTATCACCCTCTTCCTTTTCAGCCCTGCTAAGGAGCTTCAAATGAGGCAGTTTGCTTCCTCCTCAGTGCACATCCATTCCACCTGCAAGACTGCGTCCAGTTGCTCCCAGTTTTTACCATCTCCCACATGTCTACATTGACAGTGGCCTTTCTGGGTGATAACTTCACAATGCAATGACAGACTATTGTATTTAGACACACCTTGCTGAGTATGAAGAGAGAAAATAAGTCTTTGGTTCCATGCTAAGTGATAGTCAGATCAGTGTACACTGTCCATTACTGCAGCCATGGGCAGTTTACAGAGTGAAAAGGCATGGAAGCAGTACAGTAATCATTTGATAGGGATATGCATGGTATGCTAACAGATAGAGCTGCTTAAATAAGTATAGGTGCTTTAAAGGTTGGATTGCATCTTTCGACTGCTAGCAGTAAGACAAACCATTTATCATAAATCATTGTTCATAATTTCTGTACATTTTTGTAGAAGTGTATGGTATGGCAAGGAAGATGAAAAAACAGTGTCTTGGCTCAAGAGCCCAATCAGAGCAGTTCAAACATTTTTTGCATCTGTGAAGCATGACTGAAAACAATTTTTTATCATATCCAGAAGAAATTTTCACTGTTTTTATTTCTACACTAAAGCCAGAAACCCAGACTATGGATGGCATTTGTTCCCTTCCTCATGACTATGGAATACAGATGAAGTTTAACAACCCTGATGCACAGGGAGAAAAACAGTGAAATCAATGCAACCATTCCAACAGTTTGAAAAGTATGATGATCCTACAATAGTTCAACTTCCCTCATACCTTTGCATACAAAATTATACAATGTCTTTGCTTGACGAATGGGGTGGAAAATACATGTCTGATTATAAGCAGTTTTGACAACTAAGATTTTTTCCATTTCTAAGTGGAATAACTGGCAGGAGAACGCTGATTTGTGCTCTGTGTTATCATCCCTATTTTCATCTGCTTTTATCTTAGGGGAAAAAAGCTTTATTCACTTTGAGTTTTTCCACGTTACATGTTTTTCCCCGTCTGATATTTTTAGGAGTTTAAAATTAGCTCATATACAATGACAAAATCATTGTAACTGACCGAGAAACACTTACAGCTCCAAGTTCTTGTATATGGGTGTAGATGTTGGATAACAGGGAGAAGGGTATTTTTAATGCTCCCATGAAAATCCACCCCTTTTAGCCCAACTGCAACTCAGAAAAAATAATAACATTGCTTAAAAGCTTCAAGGTGTCTTCCTTCAATGGGAATTTGCTTTTTAGAAATTGCTTCTTAGATTGGCTGATTTTGCCCAGGACCAGGAGGCTGTAGAAGATTGTTCATGTGTTTGTTGCTCCCTGAAGCTCTGGAACTCCAAAGCTAACAAATACAAAGAGGCAGATTCTTATGAAATAGAGAACAGAAAGGACTAAAACCTAGAGCAATCCCAAATTCCTCAATCTGAGCACAATTTTGAAGTTTAGCAGATAACCTACACTGAAAAGACATGAGGGCAACCCACGGAACCAGCTGACCTGACAAAGAAAAAACACCCTGAACATTTGAGAATAGGATTGTTGAAAATATTTTTCAATGCATCTTTTTAAGGAAATATGTATTTTGATTAGACTGTGCAGACATACCAGATCTTTCAGTGTATTCCTAGCTATCTCTACTGGTTTGTTTTATACAATAGAGGTGTACCCTGTATCTTCTGAAAGAGCTAATAAGCTTCCAAACAATCCCCAAGAAGAAAAAAAAAAACACCAGTGTTTTTTTTTCTCCCAAGAAAGAACTATTTCACTTCAGGAATATTCATGGAACCCAGCAAAACAAATGTCCTGACTTGGTTTCTCCTGGAAATAATGACTTGGTAATGCATTGAAAATTGATCTGTAAAATCACTGGGAAAGAAATTTGGTTCATCTTCCTTTCAGATCTCCTACTTCTGTAAGAAAACAAAATAGTTCAGGGAAAGATTATCCATGCTGAGAACTAAGAAATAATGCAACCTCCTTACCTTATCCTGGCTAGGTGTTGCTGCACAGGCTGATGCTGGAAATGGTCAGGCCACTGATGGTGAAGGCAGAAGGATGGGGAGGGCTGAAGACAGCAGGCAGGGTGATAGACAGGGGTGTGTTTTTGGCAAATAGAGGCTGAGTACTCAGTGTGTGGCTGCATACAGCACGAGGTCATAGGAGATGATGCTGAGCTGCCAACCACTGAATGACATTCTTGCTTGCTATTATGGCTATTTAAAGAATGATGGTATGGACAAGGGTGGCAGCATTGCGACAACATCTGCTGAGTTCTTTGGTTGTCTAAAGGCAGAAAGGATGGTCTGATTGTACCATTTAGTTGCAGGCAGCCATTTGGACTTGGTTTTGATCTTGGTGTTTCCTTGGATGGGAGTTGTTGGACCGTGATGTCTCTGTCATTAGCTGCAACAACCCCTGGGCCAGCAGCATTTGACAAGATGCTGCCATTGCTCAGGACCACAGAGTCACTGGTGTTGCTCATAGCCATGCTCCAAGTTCTCAGTGGACACGTGATGTTCCTGAGGAAACAAATAAAGCATAGTTTAGAGAGCTGCAGTATTTTCAGATGCTCAGAAATAACTTTAAATTAACATGAGTAAAGCTCTGCTCTGAGCTTCACCTTTTGCAACACAGGGAAACAGGGAAAGGAGCCATGCACACTGCCAGGAATGTCTTAAAGTACTTAAATTTGTTCAACAAAATGTTAAGAGTGAAGTTATGTCAATTTTCAGTGATTACACCAAGTTATAAATCAAATTAATAGAGATTTGTCAGTGTCTGTGTCACAGCTAACAAGTAATGGCTGACATGCACAGAGCAAAATCATTGTGCAAAAAACTAAGCTATAGCCACTATTTATAAAAACAGATTTTGGTATAAACATTGTCACCACACCTTGCACTGCAATTTACCTGTGTGCTTTGAAAAACTGCAGGAGATGAGCCCACACAATAGAGATTATTTAATAACCAATAATGTGCTGGTTTCAGTAACCTCCTTTCCAATTTCTATTAAAAACAAGGCATATTCATGTTTATAAAGAAATTTTAATATGCCTTATTTGAATGAATCAAGCTATTTCAGGAGACATATCAAATTTTATGAATAGTAGATTAGATCTTTAGCAGAAGCTCAAAATGAACGGTTGTGAATACTAAAAAGATAGAATACAATCACATGTTTTTACCGGGTTGACAAAAAATAATCCCAGGATTGAATAACAGTTGATTGAGAAGCTTTCACTTCTCGGCGACATGTACTCTAAAGGCAGTGCATAATGTAACGTGTCGTAAATAAAGCATATGAATAAAGCATATGATTTTCTCCTAAGGTTTAAAGGCAATGTGTAGATAAATGAGAACTATTAACATTGTAGAAGTGATCACAGCTCAAGATCAAAACTTGCGTGAGGTGCTTACAGCAGCCAATTTTTCCCATCTTAACTATAACTTTGTTTTAATAAGATAAAAAGGTAAATTGGAGATCATTATTTTGATAAATAACATGAAAGGTCAAACACCACACTCAGATAAGAGTTTGCAACCCAATTTACATGAACCTGGAGGAGGGAGGAGGGAGCATGAAAAACACTAATTATGTGCTACTTAGAAGAATAAATGAACACTTCCTGAAAAAACAGAATCAGTTAATTACAACTGCTTTGACTTTTTAATACCGAATTTAATTAACATCATTGTAAGTCCAAATTGCAAGGCTTGCATTATAGACAACTGAACTTTGCAGGGAGACACAACATACATAGATTAAGGCAGATAAGCAAGGAAGTTTCTAACTCATTTTCTTCCCTGGTACCTTTGCTTAATGCTCAGAGAGCTAAGCCTGCCCAGCCAGCTGAGCTATTTAATTGCCTGTATGCTAATTCTGAGCAAAGTGCTTTGCAGACTGGAATGCTCCCCCTGGCAGCCCCCCGTGTAGCATCTCCCTGAGACAGAGCTAAATCCCCCACTTCTGAAACGAAAATTAATCCTCTGCTATTTGTTCTAGATCATGTGCAGAGCCAGATGCCCTGGGAAATCACTTTCATTTAGAAACCCACTCACAAGAGGAGAATATGCTGCTTGACAAGCAGATTTTTCCAGCCTTCAATTCCACACATTCCTGACAGGTACCCCCTCCTCTGGCCCAGGAAAGTCAAGCCCAAGGAGGACTTTCTGCTGAGCAGAGAGAGCAAATTCAAGGGGCTGGCTAAACTTCAGTTTGGTCAGAAGAGATGTATCAGTTATGTGAAATTCCACTGTGTATCAGCAGTCTGGTTTTCTCTCACACTGCAGGTAACATCAAACCTCAGTGGACACTGTGAGAGCTGGACACTGAGGCAGAGAAAGCTCCTCTCCAGGTGTCTGGCAGCATTTTTGTAATTTCTGGCTGCTTATTTTTACATTCACTCACATAAAGATAGGCTGCACAGTGATGCTGCTCATTTGTTTCTAAGTTAGTTGGATTCATCCATATCATCACTTGAAAACTGCTGTACACTGGTCAAAATTACTGTCTACTCTAATAATCGAACAGAAGGGATAGAGAGACTGCAAATATCTGATATTTCAGGAAGAGAGACACATATTCTTTTGCTTTAAATCCAGGACACTTAAAACATTAATTTTCAGTAGCTGTTTTCAACCACTTCATGAAGGAAACCAAACATCTCTGTGCCAAACACAGATGCCCAACATCGTGCCCGCAACTGCTGGGCAACCCCACCACAGACACATGGCCTTGGCCCTTCAGTGTATCTGTGCCCCTTGAGAACACTGACATGGCAATTGTAACTTTTGTCCATACAGCTCAGCAGCCTCCATTTAATACAATCAACGATAAATGCTTTATTTTCCACAGATATAATAGCTACCTGCGTACCTTTTGTTCAGAAATGTTTTAGAACTACTAAATAGAAGAAAAGATCCTCAGTACCACAACATATAATTCTGCGTTTGTTCTCCTGTTGAACAAACAATTAATGAACCATTTCAAACATTAAAATTTTAACAGATAGAGCTAATTCATTCTTTTTTCTTAAGCCTTGAGGAACTCTTGAGTTCCGTTCATTTTTATGGACTCTTTTAGAAAGGCAATGGAAGCACCTGTTTGCCTTGAAGTTCTTTCAATGACACATTAAAGCAAGAGTACTTTGCATGCTAAGGTAGCCATCGGATTAAATATTTTATTCAGTCACATCTATGAAGAACTGGGACTCAAACCAATTCTCTAGAATGTGAGCTGGGCTTTCATTTGGTTTGGTAACTTTTCTCTTTTGAGTCATTGAATTTGACCAGGCTAATGTCATCTGAGTTTTGTTTCACTCATGTTTGAGAGGATTAGAAATTCTGTACTGTGGTACTTCATTTGTGTCCCTCTTTACAGAAGTGGCTGTAAATCCACTGACAGCAAAACTTTACCTGCAGCTGTCACACCAAAATATATTCTTAACTCTCCAATGCATTTTGTCTCCTCTGCCATAATTGCAGTGACTGGGAACTTAGAGAGATGTAAAACTGGCCCAATGAAATAGTTAACTGAGAGTCTTTCCTTTAGAGGATGAATAAATAAGCCAACTAAGATGTGACACATAAAAGCATAGTAAGATTTTTAAGATGACATGGGATGGGAAATCTAAGAACATGCTGACCTTGAAAAAAAAGAATCTAAAAATAGGAATCTTTGAAAACTTAGTCTTTGAAAATTCTGAATTCCTTCAATGTTGAAGTTCATTTTTGCTGCATTCGTCAGACTGCTCTAGGACCTGGCATTCTCCAGTAGAGTGGGGGTTTCAGACTTATAAAAATTTACACCTGAAAGCTTTGAAGCAGTGGACAGGTAGCCTGAACAATGAGATGGTAGAAAATACAGGTTCCAATGCAGGCAGAATCTTCTACTTAATAGAAGATTAAATACAATTAGAAAAAATGTTAATCTACACATTTAATATATGCCACGTCTCTGGCTGGACACAAGGTATTTTAAATGTGATCATCTCTGTAGAAATTATGCCAGTTGGACTGATAAAGGAAGAAAACCAAAATTGTCTTTAATTACTGCACTCTTGATAGCAGTAACTGCTCAGAAAGGACTTGAGCCATGCAGTTCAAAATAACTCCTGGAAGAGCATAATATCTGGAATGTACCATGGTCTGCAGTGGCGATGTTCATTCTTAACAGTTTTATGGAGTAATCCATCTATTATTTGTGGAGCTAACAGGGAAAACAGCTCACCCAGTAGACAAGCATTGCAAGCGCTTCGGGAAACAAAGTAATCCTGTACAACACAAACTATGTGGGATTTGGTGTTCCCCAACTAGCATGTTCTTTTAAAACTTGGATTAAGTTCACCTGCTCCTTTGGCTGCAACTGAAACAATTTTTCATTGATTTTAGTTTCTTTAAAAGAAAAAAAAAAAAACAAAAAAACCCAACCAAACAAACAAACAAAAAAACCCCAAAAAAACCCCACAAAAAAAACCAAAAACAAAAAAACCCAACCAGACTTAAAAAAACATTGGTTCAACAAATCCCATCTGGACTCAATGTCTGCAATTGGGAATGATAGAAATGCAAATCCAAAAAGGAATGACGTAGTGGAAATTTAGTATAACCTAATATATTAGTACAGATAATTTATAGATTTTTAGAAGACAACAGAGAGAACAGCCAAGTGTTGAGGGTTTTTTTAACCATGTAAGAAAAAAAAAAATATTCCAAATCTGTATCTTGCACAAAATGAAAACTAAACTGTTGTAAGACTTTAGATTTTTCATGTAAGGTAGGAAAGAATTCAAATTTCATTTCAAAGTTACCTAAAACTTTTCGGCTGTAGTCAGCATTGCACCACTCAGCCAGCTGAACCAGCCCAGGTTTTATGAACTTCACAGACCTGTCAGCTACAAAGCATCATAGTTATGAGATAAATACAATGTCCAAAGTAACAAAAATGTCTTTTCATGTAAAAATTCATCTAAACCAGCTGTATTCTAGAAGCAGTGCATTTCTAAAATAAGCAACATTTAACAATCCCAGTGCTAACTGGTGAGACTCTTTCCAGATGAAATATGATAATGGCCTTGCAGTCCTTCAAGATGCTGAAATTTTCCAATGTAGCCAGCAGTCTTACTGTCTGTAAACTCAGTTAAATCCTCTCCAGCCTTCGTCTGCTCTGCCAGCCAGTGCACAGCCACTCTAAAGGAGGGTTTGCTCCTCCTTCACATTACCAGAATTCTTTGTATATTTGCTTTTTCTCCATGCCCAGAGAAGTAACAGGTGGTGTCTGGTGTTTGATACTGGGTTTCATGTGAGATGTCTACGTATCTATCACTGCAATGGTCTTTAGCAAGTCAAGCTGCTTTTTAATGTTTCACGGTTGTTGATCTCCATTTTGGCTCCCAGCTAGAAATTCTTCAAATTCTCCAGCTCTTACTCCAATGCTATCATATTTGGTGCTTGGTTTCTCTCAATACCTCAATTCTTGCTCTTCCATTTCAGCTGTTAACCCCTACCTCTTCCCTGAA